GGTGGATTTGTGAGCTCCCTGGTAACTCAAGGCGATAAGCTACCTGACTAATGCGCTTTAGAATCTGATAAGGCCCATAATAGCAAACGCCCAGTTTAGTTGCGGCCCTTTGTGTTGTGGTGCGCTGTCTGAATGGTCGTAGCTTCAGGTAGACATACTCGTCTGGTGCAAAACTTTCCTCGCGCCTTTTTCCATCGGCGAAGGCTTTGGTTCGATTGATTGAGCCTTCGAGATTTTTCTTCAATTCTCGCAACATTAGATCTCATTCCTCTATCTCTCGACCAACCTCATCATTGACTGTACTCCCTTCCGAATAATTGATCCGTGTTGGGGGTTTCTGCCCGTACACCAATTCAAACGGCGTCATCTTGGTCGACTCGTGGTAAGTGGCGTTGTACCAATACTCAGCCCAAGGCAAAAAGTTTTCCCACCGCTTCGGGAATTGATGGGCGTAGCACCTCAAATACTGCTCAAGGGTCCGGTTGGTTACCTCAGTTTGTCCGTCTGTCTGTGGGTGGTAGGTTGAGCTCATAGATAACTTAGTTCCTTGCAACTTGAAGAATTCAGACCAAAAGTTACTCATAAAAATCCGGTCTCGATCAGAGACGATGGATCGAGGTGCTCCATGCAGTTTCATTACGTACTCTACAAATAACCTGGCAATTGACTTCGCGGTGTAAGGATGGGTAATGGGTATGAAGTGAGCATACTTTGTGAGGCGATCCACTACAACCATAACACCGTCGAACCCATTAAAACTCGGTAACCCCTTTATAAAATCCATAGTGATGTCTTCCCAGATTGCCTCGGGTACCGGTAGAGGTTGTAACAGCCCGCTCGGCCGTCGTGAGTCAGACTTAGTGCGCTGACAATCGTCACACCGTGCTATGTAATCTCGGACGGTATTCTGTTGTCCGGGCCAGAAGAAAGTGTTGGCTATTCTCATTCATGTCGCGGTAAATACCCAAATGGCCTCCAATTTTAGAGTCATGGAAATGCTGCATGATCTGCTCACGTAACTGCCCACTGTTGGGAACGTAGACTCGACCTCGGTGTAGAAGTAGACCATTATGCAACTCGTAATCGATAGCAGTTGTCTTACCTGCTTCTATCGATTGGCGCAGCTCCTGGCAATAGGTGTCCTCTACTTGCTCCTTCCTGATTTCTTCCCAAATAGTCCAAGCTGGCCCCGTGATAGCATTCAGCTCGGCTACATCTGTTCGTCGGGATAATGCGTCAGCAGCTGCATTCTGTCGACCCGGTCGATAGATTATCTCGAAGTCAAATCCCATAAGTTTAGACACGAACTTTTGCTGCTCCGGGGTCACAATCCTTTGCTCCAGTAGATGCTTAAGCGGTTGTTGGTCGGTAACAATCTGAAAACGTCGGCCTAATAGATAAGACCTCCAGCAGCTTACAGCCTCGACAACTGCTAGCATCTTCTTCACGTACACCGATAGACCCAAACGTGTTGTGCCTAGTGCCTTGCTGAGATAAGCTAAGGGTCGTCCCTCTTGCACTAGCACAGCTCCAATTCCAATGTCACTCGTATCGGTGTGTACCTCGAACAAGACATCAAACTTGGGCTTGGCGAGTACTGGCGTTGTATTCATGGCTTCTTTCAGTTTCCCAAACGCCTCCTCGCTAGCTTCGGTCCATGTGAACCCGCCTTTCTTAGTCATCTCTGTCAGTGGTTTGGCGATAGTCCCATAATCCTTCACGAACTTTCTGTAGTAGCCCGTGAGTCCTAGAAATCCCTTCAGCTGTGTGAGACTTGTCGGTTTTGGCCAATCGATCATAGCCTCAATCTTCCGTGGATCAACCTTCACGCCCTCGTGTGATATGAAGTGCCCCAGATACTCAACCATCATCTGCCCGAAAGAACATTTGGATGGTTTGATGTGGAATGAGTTGGCCTCCAGAATTTCGAGTACTACTCTTAAATGCTCAAGGTGTTCGTCCCATGACTTCGAATAGATCAAGATATCATCAAAGAATACCAGAACGAACTTACGCAGATACTCCTTGAAGATAGAATTCATAGCGAACTGGAATGTGGATGGGGCGTTGCATAATCCGAATGGCATGACTAGATACTCGTAGTGTCCCTGGTGCGTACGGAATGCTGTCTTTGGAATGTCTGCCTGATGGAGTCGAATCTGATGGTAACCAGCTCTTAGGCCGAGCTTTGAGAAATAGCGTGACCCGGCTAACTCATCGAGCATGTCATCAACGCTCGGGATAGGAAATCGGTCCTTGACGGTTGCAGCGTTCAGAGCTCGGTAGTCAGTACAGAACCTCCACGTGCCGTATTTCTTTTTGGCTAACAAGACTGGAGAAGAAAACGGACTCTTGCTATGCTGGATTAATCCTGATTCAAGCATCTCGGCCACTTACTGTTCGATCTCGGTTTTCTGAAAGTGAGTGTACCTATAAGGGTGGACATGTATGGCATGCTGCTCATTGATCAGTGGTATGCGATGATCGAACTCTCGGTGTGGTGGAAGTCCCTTAGGCTCGCCCAGTACTCCTTCGAATTCCTCGAGAAGCTCACGCACATCACCTTGTTGTTGTTCATCTCTGTCTATGTGCGCCTTGGTGTTGTCGACTACTACTGCAAAAATTTGGCCGCCACCTCGCCAAACTCTTTCGATACTTTTCAGCCCTACTTCCTTAGTACCCTTTTCGGTGCCCGTACTCAGAGTGACTTGTCGACCTCCAGAGTTGAACTCCATAATTCCTGTTCGATAGTCAGTAGTTACCCTGCCTAGCCCCTCAAGCCATTGCACCCCTAGAACGACATCTGGTCCAACCAAAGGTAAGGCGTAGAGATCGGCCTTTACAGTGACTCCGTCAAATTTGATTGGCACCTTCCGGAATGACTCAGTACATTGTAACCTTTCTCCATTGGCTACTCGGACTTCGAAGGGCTCGATTTTTGTGGTCGGCAACTTAAACTTTTCAGACAATTCGGTATTAATGAAGTTATGAGACGAACCGTTGTCTACGAGTATAATTACTCTTCGATCCTTGACCCATGCTGGTAGACGCATCGTCCTTGTTCCTCTGATTCCAGCCATTGCATGTATCGAGATTTTAGGCTCTTCATGAAGTACTTCACTCACCTCTTCCTGCTGTGATTCCTCCTCGACCTCAACTTCCTCATCGTCGGGGATGGCCACTTCGATGACAAAGGCCTGCTTACATTGATGACCGGGGGTAAACTTCTCCTCACATTTAAAGCAGAGACCCTTCTCACGTCGTCGTTTAACTTCCCCGGGGGACAACCGCCTTACTATCGACCCTGCTGGCCGATTGCTGACATTTGGTGGTGCTCTGACCGTGGCTTGGTTCGATCCCGTGCGTTGCGTGTCCGCAAATCGCACATCCGCCCGTCCCCTTCGCGTAGCGACTAGGTGATCTTCGTGTCGCCGGGCAACCTCCATCGCATCGTGCATGGTATCCGGCCTTTCGAGTCGGACCTCCGCAGATAGGTCAAATTGTAACCCTCCTACAAACGCTCCGATCAACGCATCTTCGGGCCAATCACGTACGCGGCAGGCCAACCGCTCAAACTCCCTGATGTACTCGCGTAGGCTACCTGTCTGTCGTATGCGTGTGAGAGCCTCATTGTAGTTGTGGTAATCAGATGTACCAAACCGTGTAAGCAACTCTCTTTCAAGAACTTCCCAAGTGATGATTTGCTGTCGCTTTCGATAAACCCTTGTGTAATATCCCAACTTTTATCAGTATAATAATATTTCAGTTCCGATATTATTTTTTCGGAGTTAATTAATTTCAGTTATTCCAGTCAGAAATTACCGGAACTATTTTCGACGTACCGTTTACGTTCGAAATAATTTTGGTAATTTAGTATTATGTTTAATTAGATAATTAGACATAATTAAGTGATTAATTTATTTTAATCACGAGATTAGTAATTGTTCGGATTTTATTCCGAGTTCATGTTCATAGTCGTGCATTGTTCGCAAATGCCGTGCGTGTGTTCGTGCGCGTGTTCGGGAGTCCGCGCCCCTCCTTGTCATGTAGCCGTGCTTGTGCCCGTGCGTGCGTCGTCCAAGAAGGCCGTGCACATGCTAGCGGGCGGAGAGTCCTAGGCCGTGTGAGTATCCGTGCAATCGATTGGACTTTTGTGCCAAGAAGAACGTGCACCAAAGTTTGTCCTTACATGCCATGGGAGTTGATCCATTTTTTGTCCTTGTTGCCCGAGAATCCGTGCGCCATGCCCTTGTCCGTATGCTAGTGGCGGAGTGTCCCATAGCCGTGAACATGTAGTGTGCCTTGACCAATTTTTTTCCCCCTCATTTTCTCCGCCCATGTTCGGTTTCTAAGTGAGACTTGGAGGAATTTATGCACTTTACTCCTTTTCACCCCACAAGTGCCGAGAGTATTTTTCCCCCACACTGAGAATTTTCAGCAAAGCTTTTTAGCCACATATCACTCGTCGCGCATCAAAGCCACGCCCGAGGGTTACCGCAAGCTACCGCAAGTCACGAGTACACGCGCACGCCACGCAACGCATCGCACCGCACGCGGAGTCTTCACGGTCGAGAGTTCGAGAGTTAGTCTCCGAAGGCTTAACAAGAGGTAAGTTCCCGAGAATA